TCCACTACAGCCAATCAAGTTCTGACTCATTCTTCATGCTGCTCTGAAAGCTATCTTTCAATCATAATTTAAACAGAAATCTGTCGAACGTTTTGTCCAATCCCTCTTCCCCCTGGACAGAGTGACTAAACCATTCCAACTGCGTATTGTATAATCTGTATTTTGCAATACCTCTGTCAAATAGTAATGCATACTGAACATATTAAGGATTTTGTTGAATGAATCAGTATTCTGTACATTTTCTTATTTTTTCCTATTACTCCTCAAACTGTAATGAGCACTAAACACTCAGAAAAATATAGAATGGGTGTAAATGTATCTGCGAATAGAACCAATGCGTCAATTACTTTTATGCTCTTTCTGCAGAAACAAGACAGAGAAGCTTGTTTTAGAGTAGTCACTAACACGACCATTCGTCTTAACCGGGCATGACGAACGAACTCATGAGGTTTTCTTCGTGTTTGTGGCTCGACGAGCTTGCACATCATCTTGCTTTACAAACGCCTTAGAAGACGGTTTATGATAAATCGTCTCCGCACTATAGCTTGTATAATGGTGAACGAGTTATAACGTCAGTCAGTCGCTCTATTGGGCAGAATGAAACGATTTGCTCTGTCACTATTGTATTGGACGTGACGAGGAAGTACGTTTTATTACCGAATTAATTTGACGCTCTGAAGCTACTTTTAGTCTGGGAAATTTCCCGCTTAAAAGGATAATGGATTAAAAGTGAAATGTTCGTCAAGTCATTTTCTTCATAGGAGGTTATTCGTGGATACTCAAAGTAAGGTGTACGGGCATCCATGTGTAAGAGATCCGGCATTAACCCTGCACTAGATACGAGCGGAATTCTCTTCTGCATATTCATATCTCGTAAACATAGTTTTCAAATAAGCAGAGAATCTTCTGCGTCTTTGTAGCTGCATTTTTCACCTTCAGTACTCTTCCAGCCATTACAGCACTTGATTACTGTGAAGAAAGATTTAAAGCGATATTCAGATCTCTTTTAAATGATACATGTTTCCAGTTTTCCAATTAGTACGTTTTTATGGTATTGAAAGACTACTGTACTTCTTTTAGCGTATTATTTTACTTTATTTCCAACCATAATGATTTCATGACGTATTACATGTATGAGATCACAATTGACTAGCGAAAGGGTCTCGACAGACTTGTTGATTTATTGCAAAGTTTCCATAATGTCTATTGTTACCAGATGATTACTTTTCATTTAATTTTATGTTAGTGTTTGTACAGCAGTAATTTTTAATAATGAGAGACTATCTTAATGTTTTGAATAATATATCAGTCTAAGGTGGGCATGATTTATCATATGAGGAGGCTATCTTGAATTAATTTTAATGTTTTTTGCGGTGTGTCCTAACATGGATATTTTTTTCACAAACCGTTATATTTGTCTTCATAATTTTTTTAACATCCTACTAATGTGATTGAAGAGTTAATTTTCATGGGACGTAACTCTATTTACATTTGTATTCTAGTTTAGCGAGTCAATGAAATGAACCAGGAGTCTGAAATTTGAGTACTTTCCCTGCCTCAAACATGGCATTTCTTGAAGATGCGTCACTTTGGAAATAAGCCCTTGAATTACTCTAAAGTGGGATTGATTTGTTAGTAATGTTGAGTTATTTTCTAGACTGGCTGGTCAGTTTTTATTTTAAAGTCAAATGATTTGTTGAAAAATGTAAGTCAATTCCTTTTCTTAACATAGATTTATTGTAAACATTCGATTTTTTATAACCACAGAGAAATTTAGTTTGAAAATTGTCAAACAGTAAACCCACTTTACGGTATTAAAGTTTACTACTTGCCGTTCATTTCGGCTATGTTTGTTTGAAATGTACCAAGAGGTTTTTATGACACATTATTTTGCACTGGTTTTGTTTTTGTTAATGCCGCTTTTTGCATTACAGTGGAGTCTCGGTTATCTTAACTTCAGTAATGCCAAAGTTTGCTTAATCCCAAACTAAAATCAGCGAATTTTTCGGTTAAGGGAGAAATAAGAATGTTTTTTACTTACAAACTATTGTACAGCCGTATATACTTCATAAAATTCCAAGAAAATACAAGCTCTAATACAATACTTTATTATAAATTTATTTGAAATATTTAGTTTCTTTTTTTGACGAAGTACCTGTCCAAGAAAGCCGAATTGCTCCAATACTTCAATACCACGACGTCCGTTTGTTCAGAGTGATTGTTGTTTCTAACTCTAACCGCAACAAAAACATTTTCCAAGTTATTATGACGTGTCCAGTTAAGAGTTGTACGCAATACGAATTGATTAATATATTGAGGAGTAAAATAAAATATTTCCACATAACCCGAAACGTTATTTTATCCGAGATGACCCTGTCCCAATTATGTGGGATAAGCAGGACTGTATTGCATTACGCCACCGCGCCCGCGAACCCGTCCCGGGCGGGCGGCTGGGGCGACGGATAGGAAGCGCATGGAGATGCAAACCGCCCCAGACGCGTCCCGTAACGTTGACCAAGGCGACGCTAATCCGCTCGTCGGATGGCGCTGCTTGCGCAAATGCACTCTTGGCCGGCCGCCGACACCGTTAGAGCGCGGAGGCTGCGGCTGGAGATGGAAGACGGGCAGCCGAACGCCAGACCTTCC